TCGCCTTGACCATATCCTTCTTGAGAATGGCAGTGTGACGAGGCGCGACGGGGTCAATGTACTTCTTGTTGGTTGCCCAGATCAGAGTCCAGTCAAGGTTGGTGATGTTCTTGCTGGGCCCCTGCTTAAGAATGAATTCTCTCAGGGCAGGGATGGTCATTCCTCTTCGTCGAATGCCCTATAAAATGGTTAGCCTGGGGAGTTAACCGTACAGGGGGGATAGGCCAGATAATAAAAAATGACTTATCAAAATGGGGATTCGTAGGTATGATCAGGCCTGTTACTTACTCGGATGGTGGGGAAACGAGGACTGACATCGTAAGTAAGACAAGAAATCAGTGGAATTAAAGGTAGACTTACTCATCCCATCCCCAGACGATGCCTTGGTTAACGAGCTTGGTAAGTTTTCTCTTAGATAGCAATGTGCGAATGAAGTTCATGCGAGCGAAATCCCAGATTTGGACATGGCGAAGCTTGAGTGTGTCCAAGAACCACTGGTATTGAGGGTTGCGATCGCGGTACTCAATAGTTCTGAGGGCATGAGTCACACCCTCAATTGAGTCGACGATAGGGCAGGCGAAGTCGTAGGTAGGGTAGATCCTCCACTTCGTTCCAGTGCGGTGGTGGGGAGCAGGGTTGCAGCGGTAGATGACAGGATCACGCATGGCCTTGTTGGGGTTATCAACAGACATCTTGGCTCGGATACACCAACGGAGACCCTCAGGGGTACCCTTTTTCATCTCCTCGAAATGGGCAAGGTTCTCCTCAACGGATGCATCACGACGCTTGCTGGGCTTTCCATTCATTCTCTGCTCAGCCATGACCTCCTTCTCGGTATCATCGGCGTACGCGTTGCCGTCCTTAATAATTTGAAGAGCATACTGGTAAAGCTCGTCGAAGTAGTCACTGGTGTAGCTCATCTTGTCGGGCTTGATGCCCATGAGAGCAAGATCCTCAATAATGGCGTCCTGGAACTCGAGTTTCTCATTCGAAGGATTTGTGTCGTCGAAGCGGACAAGAAGGGTACCATTATACTTCTCGTGCGCGAAGTAGTCATTGAGCAGTGCAGCTTTTGCGTGACCGATGTGAAGATAACCTGAAGGCTCGGGAGGAAATCTTGTCACCACTCCCTTCTCAGTATTGAGAAGAGCGATGTCGTAGCTGGCTCCCTCCTTCGCCTTGGCGGTCTTCTTCTCCTTCGCAGCCTGGTTCAGGGCCTCAAGTGCAGAAGTGGCCCATGGGCAAAGATCCTCCAAGAAATAAAACCAACGAGTGACATTGACAAGTGAGCCCTTCTTGATCGCTGAAACGGCTACCCGGTTGCCTCGGATGGCACCCCAAAGGGCGATATCGGCTGTGGAGAGAGAGTAACCGACGACGAAGGATCGCAGCAGGAGGTGGGTATCGAGACGCTGCAATTCAGGGTCAAGGGCCTTGAAATCGAGAGGAGCAAAGGCTTCTAACTGAGACAGCCACTCATTCTCCTAGAGGACGTGTGTTAGCATCGCCCATCAGTGCTCATCAACGGTCAGTTTCCATGGCGCCCTACCAGCTTTTCATCCTTGCTGTTAAGGAAGGGGAAGTCTTTGCGGAGTTCTTGAATAGCATTGATAGTGCCAAATACGGGATTACCGCTAGCTCCGGTGTATTGCACAACGGCCTTATCGCCTTCACGAAGAAGTGCAGTATCCTCATAGGTGATCGATATCACTGGGCTTGGTCGCGCCTCATTGAGAGAAGTTGCGACCAGCAGGACAGGAAGCACATAGGGCTGATTGGCCCTGGTGGCCAGAGTAAGCTGATACTGAGACATTGCGGCCCTCGAGATCGCTTCAAGTGAAATCGACGTCTGAGACCGTAACAAGTGGGCTGTTGAATCTCTTCAAAAATCGAGTAGTATTTGGAGGGGCATTTGACTCAAAACGGACTCCGCCGGCGTCACGTTTCTCCGCCGAGACAGAGAGCTTTCGGAGAAGAAAACATCTCCGTCGCCCAGTGAGTTTGAACAAGGCTCGCATCGATCAAACTCTTAACGCCATGTCCTCCTACGGCTCGATCTTGCCGTCTGTGGCAAGGAGCATTCTTTCAACATGTCAGCCGCCTCTTCGTCAAAGAACAATGGCGCCTTTGCTCTCGAGCTTTCACCAACAGGTCCGAGGAGCCAAGAGCAACCCTCAAGCCCAAGGCAAAAAGGCCAAGGTAAAGAGCAAGAAGGAAAAGAAGGGTCCTAGGGAGTTCAAGCAGAAAGATCTCAAGGATGTTGAACAATTTGCGCTCTGCGATGCGATAAGGTAGATATTGTCTGGGTTGCGTCCTTTCACTTGCGTATCTCGCTAATCCTCTGACTTTCCTACTGCAGATATCTCCGTGCATTCGAAGTTGGTCGCGAACCGACTGTCTCCAAATACGAAATTCATATCCGTTTGAAAACAAAGCGAGACGGGCCGGTCATCCGTAACATGCTCAGATTTCCTCACTCTGTCCAGACCGAATCGCGAATTTGTGTAGTGTGCCCCCCTGGGACAAGACACGAGAAAGAAGCCCGAGCGGCTGGAGCTGTTCTGGTCGGTGAACAGGAAGTATTCGATGCGGTCAAAGCGGGCAAGATTGAATTCGATCGCTGCATTTGTCACCCCGATAGTTTGGACGCTTTGAACAAAGCCGGGTTGGGCAGGATTCTTGGTCCCAGAGGCTTGATGCCAAGCATCAAGACCGGTACTGTGGTTGAAGATGTGGCCGCTAGAGTTGAGATGCTCCGTGGTGGTACGGTATACAGAGAGCGTGATGCTGTTATTCGACTACCGATTGGGCAATTGGCCTTTTCCCCCGAACAACTGAGGGACAATTTGCGCGCGACGATTGAGCAGGTGAAGAAGGACGCCGCTAGCCTCAACGATCGCATTGTTAAGGAGATCTACGAAGTCGTAAGTTGGCTTCTAATATCGCGATCCTGGAATCCGTATTGACCAGCACCAGGTTCTGAGCTCGACAAACGGCCCCGGCTTCAGTCTGAATGGAGAGTTCAAGTCCGACAATTCTCCTGACACCACGTCTTTGACCGGCTTGTAACATATGTGATTTCTTCGGTCCATTTTCTTGGGTGTATATTATACAGATCACGTTATTCTTTGGGAAGAGCACGGTGCATAATGGTGTTTTCTGAGAACATATATTTCTAGAAGCTCAAGCCTGATCCTAAACGCCTCCGCTATGCAAAATGAGTCTTGCCAATGCACAAGGGTGAAGCTTATATCTTCAGGTTCTTCAATGCTGTTACTGCACTGGTATCCTCGCCCATGAGTTTGTAGAGTCGCAATACGGCCAGCGTTTTCGTATCCCGCCTCTCACCAGCATGACTTGCTTGCTCAAGTGCTGTCTTCAGGTCCACGAGCACCGTGGCCCTGATCTTCGCTAATCGAGGTTGTTGGTTAAGTAAGAATGGATGATCAACGCCGATCCGCGACGCGAGTCGAGTGAGGTAGACGTATTTCTGTATGTGATTTTCCAGTCTTCGTAGAGACACCAGTGGCGCTGCAGGTGAGCCGGCGGGCAGATCTTCTTCGTCACTTTCCTCACTCTCACTGTCCAGCAGGTCAGAGTCCGTGTCGAATCCCTCGACCGATTCTCGTCGGTGCTGGGTCGGTGCGTCGCCAATCATCAATCGTTTCTCCAGCTCCTCAACACGCTCTGCGAAGTCTAACAGAGCCTGAGCGATGTTTGCATGTCCTCTCAGTCGCCTCTTTTCATTCAAGAGCTGTTCCATATCGCTTTGCCTCGCTTCGACCTTGTCCCGTATCGCTTGAACCTCCCTCTGAAACGACAACAGTCCAACCCGAACCTGCTCGACCTTCTCTTCGCCCCCTTGTAATGCACTGCCAAGCGATAAGAAATCACCATAGTTCTCATTGACTAGATCTAGCAACTCCCGGCTGAGCAACTGGTCTAGATTCCGCAGTTCTTGCCGAAGGTCTTCGAGGCTCTGGTGTCGATTGGTCAAGGACGAGAGGTAGTTTGCGGGTTCGAAGTCGGGGGCGAGGAATGAGGATCGAGTGAGAGGCTCAGGGAATGGGAGGTCGGAGGTATCATCGTCAAGATCCGAGGCCGACTCCTCGGAGTCGCCAAACTATAAGCATGAACAGTCAGTGTCTTGGACGGGGGAGCCAATGGGACATATACACGGAGTGCTTGCATACACGAAACCTGTTCATTTGGATTGAGAGGAACCTTGAGCAGATTAATGGCGATTGAGTGTGCAAACAGGGATAAAAACTCGCAAGATTACTGGATACTGGAAAGATAGCCGGTTGGCTCAAAGACTCAAGACATGATGATTGTGAGTTGGTAGCAGTCGCAGTAATGACCCGTCCGCATATCTCCTCCACCTCCGTTGGTTTGTTCCGTCCGCTAGTAGATGGATAAAACAAATAATCGCTGTCGTTGTCGCATGCCAACGCATTGTCTTACTACATTGTTTTCAAAACCCCAGTATTGAAGCAAAGTGTCATCCGACAGAGCTTACATTGCCTGGAAATATTCTCACACTAGAGTCTACTGGGTCTCTCAAATGCGTGCCAACATGGCACTCTTTCTCATGCGCAATGCAGGTTTGATCGCCTGAGCAAAAACCTCGAGCGTAGATACGTGTCCTGCCTTGTACATGCTGTGATTTGACAGCTGCTTGACTCTCTGTTACTGTTGGACGATCTGCCGCAGCTGCGAATCGGCATGAGGGCGGGGTTTTGCTGATGGCCGTATTCCCTCCGCGTCTTCCTGCATCAAAGCTGCGACGAATACACTTGGATAGAGACGTCCTTGACTGATGGATGACTTTGACAACAAACCAGAAATCAAATCTTTGCTAATATCTTTTTGTGGACCCTGTTTTGTTGATAATGGATTATAGGTCAGACAGGCTGTCATCCCACCATGATGGAGTCCGACTATCGTCCTCACTCTCTGGCCAGAGATGGTCACAGCTCACTCCCTCTCATTCCTGCCCGATGGTCGAGGCCGTTGGTTCATCTCATCAAGCAAGCTCCTACCGTTATGACCTTGCTCTAGATGAATCCGCACGGGCATACCGCACCACTGCGTTACGTCAAGTCAATGGGAACCACAGACCTCTGACCCGGAAGAATCGCCAGGCCAATCATTCTGGCAATCGGTCCTCGACATTAGCATCTCAGCCAGTTCTGGTTCGGGCCTATACTGGAAGTACTGATGATACTGGAGAAACATCCAATATGCCTTTACGGCGGTCCTTTCTATTTTCAGTTCGATCTGAAGCGCCAAAGCGTGGCCCAAACCTTCCCTCGGAAGAGGATTTTAGTATCGACGGCATTTTGCGAGCCATCGAACCTGAAATTCGAACCACTTTGGATGCGATTGGCGAAATATGCGGCCGTAGCAAACTCAGTTTGGCCAACGAGTATGGAAGTCATATTGCGCCCTTGGGAGAGATTCGGGCTCCTCCTGGCGGTCTCTTGACTGTCGAGGAAGCCAGCTCGGACCATGAAAGACAACCTGATGATGCTGTAATCATCTTTGACGATGACAGTAACAGTGTTGTAGGTGTGCGGGATTACACCACTGTGCCTCAATATCGTTACTTAGAACAGACTGGACCATCTACAGTCACATCTTCTACAATGGTGTATCAATCATTCGTGCCGTTCTCCGTTGCAGAGGGCTTGTCAGTACTCGCGCAACCTGACACTCCGCGATCGCTCCTTGCTGCCAACCTCGATAATATTCCCTCAGATCCCGTTGCAGATTCATTGCCTGCGACTAGAGAATTTATGTCGAAGCCGAACTCAAACGGCCGGACATTGCTCGGAAGGCAGAACGAACCCGTCACAGAGGACCAGATCAAGAGTATCCTGACACCTGCGCTTGTGTCGGAGATCCTCCTCGACGCACAAGCCAACGGCCATTCATTGCACTCCCTTCCTTCTGACCCTCACCAAGGCCGGCTGTCCGCAGGAGAGCACGGTGATACCACGACAAGGGATCGTGGACAGTCAGATAAGCCGTCTGTGCTGACAGATGTGCAAGCGCTGTTCAACTGGCTTAGGAGTGCTTCTCATGACGGTCAACCTCGATCCGCTGAAAAGCTGCTGCGTGCCATGCTTGAGAGACAAAATGGACAGCATCCGTCAACGAACACAGGCTAGACGTTGATAACTGATGGTAATCATTTCATATGGTTGTTCGCTTCTATAATATTCAATCTGCTGAATTGCTTAGCTTTTTTCTCTCAATTCTCCTGCTGATTTGTAAAAGTAACAAATCAGAATCTTTCCCAGCCTCTAGTAAGGTAGATCTTAAAGAAGACACTGTGAAAGTAATTGGATGATGGCCTCTTATAAGATAGGCTTCGAGATGATATGGAGTTGGCTGTTAATGCACTCAAGTGAGCCAAAAAGAAACATAATGGTGGTATATGAATGAAGACAAACGAGGCTAGCGACGAAGAGTATTATTCATTTCATGCCGTCAAAGAGAATCAACTCGCCGCGCTTTCCCCTTCAATCTGAGATATTAATGTCTTCGCAAATCCCTCAAATCGAGAGTATGACCAGCAGTCCTTATACCGCTCAACAAGCGGCCTGTTGTCGACAGGCTCCTCTTGCTGTTGAGCCTGCGTAGGTCCGTCTTCCTCATCCGAGTCACTATCCAAAACCATCTTCCCTTCAACCAGTTCGCCGAACTGGACATCCACAGGCACATTACCGAGAAATCTGATCCCTAGTTCCTCCGCCATGACCTTACCTCCGCCACTGGAGAATAAATTGCTCACTTCCCCACAGCAAGGACATGTGTAACCGGACATGTTCTCAATCACACCCAGCGCCGGGATCTGTGTCTTCACACAGAAATTGACCTCCTTGCGCACATCGGACGTCGCAATGGCCTGGGGAGTCGTCACAAGCACCGCACCCACCAAACGAGGCCGGCCCATGGACGATGCAGCCGGGTCCGTCGAAGCCAGCGTCATCAGCTGCTCCGCCAACGCTATATGCTCATCGCTCGTGCCGGGCGGGGTATCCACGAGCAGATAGTCCGTGGGACCCCAGAAAACATCGGATAGAAATTGGCGGATCATAGCGGTTTTCTTGGGGCCACGCCAGATCACCGCGTCTCCGCGATCGCGTAGGAGAAAGCCCAGAGACATGCACCGCAACGCGCCTCGTGGTGGTGCGCCATCCTGTGCTGTGTTCTCGGGCGGGTGTACCGATACGGGGAGCCAACCGCGCGGGGTCTGGGTGATCTTTGCGTCTTCGAGTCCGACTAGGCGGGGGATGGACGGGCCTGTTAGATCAATGTCGAGGATACCGACGGATTTGCCCTGAAGAGAGAATGCGAGGGCGAGTTGCAAGGTGACCGAAGATTTGCCGACGCCACCTTTGCCAGAGAGGACCTTTACATATTCGCAGAGTGTCAGTGACAATCGTGGGAGAGTCATTCAAAACAAAAGCAATTCAGCTTCAGTCAAAACAGCCCGTATTGCCCAACTATGGCTCTTGGATACCTCCACTGATCATCATCCCTCATTGACATGGGATCGTTATCGATAAGATGCGATGAGGGGTTTGCGCTATACAGAAAATGACATGGGAGAGAAGCTACTCACCAGCACAATGTTCTTGACTCCGTCTAGAGGCATTTCTTGCCAGCTATCTGACCGTTTTGAAGATTTGAGAATTCAATTTTCACTCGGAGACGAAGGAAAAGGCGATGGCGAAATGGCCGATTTCGCAGTTCGCCTTACTTTTTCTGCGTCATCCCGCCATGTGGGGAAGAAATCCGACTGCTTATCAATCCGGAGATTCGTTTTGAAACTATTTGTGTCGTCAAGACAAGAAATATGAAGCACTTAGATGAGAAATCCTCGTCTACAAGCTGCAATGGATAGGAAAAAGACATCAGTTCAAAAGCCCTTGTGTGCAGAACCGTTTCGTGATATGCGAGTCGTCCCTTAACTGGAACTGCCTATCCACTTGTTGATATCTGGATTACATAAATCGTGTCATTGACTCAGATTTTGTCAGGAGATCACAGTATGATTTCCTACAAGAGAAGATGCCTCTTTTCTATGGTTTGGCGTGGACAACAGAACGTTCAGAAGCCCTAACTTCCACAACAGCAGCTTACTGCCACTTCTGTACGACCACACCACCTCGCTTGAACTCAGCTAGATCACCAAGGACAGCAGACTTGTCTGTAAGCTCCTTATTCGGGAACGTGGTCATCAACACCCAGGGGCGGCTCTGGCTGGATGGGCTGGCGGCGGAAACGAACTGATACACGTCGCCAATGGTATGAGAGGTATTGAATCGAGAAGTTAGACGAGTTCCATCTCCAAGTCGGATTTGTAGTGTCACGATCGGCTGCGACTCATCCACGTCAGGTTTGACTGGCTCTGCGCTTGGCTGACTAGTAGTGGGAGCATCAGAAGGGGCTTGGCTTCTAATGGCTGGAGTCGGGCTGCCGAGTCGTTGTCCTGTCCCGGAGAAAGGCTTGTATTTTGGCTTAGGCTTGACATATTTCTCCTCGTGCTGCTTGATTTCGACGTCGACTTCTTGACCTTGTTGTACATTCATGATCGATAGCGGGGCACGGCCCTGTCGGATGCCGTCAAGAATTTCCGCATTTCGTGGGTCATCTGAGCGGAAGAGATCGCCGTCATCGACAGAGAATCCATCCGCCCAGAAGTGAAGCGTTCTGTGTACTCGCTGGGGTCTTTGTAGTGTAGGCGCACTCGGGCTTTCTATGACCCGGCTGGGGGTGTCGTCGCCGCCAAGGGTGCGTGCAGTGCCGGTAAAGTAAGATTGTCTGGTTTGGGGTTCGTCAGAAGACGGCAGTTGAGTCCTATACGTAGTCGTCAGGTATTCTGTCAAAGTTTGAGTATAATTGTCAGGTAAGACCAAGACTCACTTTCTGGCTTTCTCGATTATCTTTCTTTTGAGGTCATCCGGGTTTTGTACAGCCAGTCCTGACTTCTCACCACCAGCAAAGAAATCTTGATTCTCTGTCTCATCTTCATCGGCCGAATCGCCGCCTCCAGATGCAAAATCTCCGAGCGTTGCGAATCTCTTCTTAGAGGTGGGTTTGCGCGATGAGGAAGACTGCTGCGGTGTAGCAGTTCCAGACTGGGAAGAGCTGCCGCCTAGTGACCGACCTGCTGATACAGCTGAATCTGCGCCTCCAAGAGACCGACCCCCGACTGTGTTCGCGTCTTGCATGGCTTCGTCTTGTTCCGCGAAGAATTCTGTCACCGCTGCCTCAATATCCCACCCGTTGGCTGCCAGGTACTCTTGTGCCTTTAGGGATAGATATCAGCGAAAGAGCTCTTCATACATAGGCATAGGATCAGAGTGGAAGGATTACCTCTGCAGGACGTGTGCCTGTCATTGCACAGAACTGAGAAACCACCTCATCGTTCTCGGCGGGGTTGCGCTCCATCTTGGTAAGGTAGAAGATGAGTTGACAGCTCGCTTCAGCTATTGAGTGCTGAATCCAGATTAAAGAAAATACGACCACTGAAGGCACCAAGCTGAGATACTGAAAACAGAGTGAGGTGTATGATGACCAGGGGGAAAAGGAATTAGTGAATGCCAAAAGACTCAGTGATTACTGGGGCTCCGATTTCACCAAGGGACAAACACCGCGCCGATGAGGATACGTCACTGTTGCCTGATTGGTCGTCTGGAAGAAGAGATCTCCCGGTGTACAGAATAGATGTTGATGCCTCAGGTGCTTCATGATGCTTGGTTACTTTACCACAATCTGCGACTTGCACTAGCTCATGTGCTATTAGATCTGGATCTTAAACATTAGTATAATTTGCGACTTTGGGATCTACTGCATATATTGGTCCTGGCTTTGTCCGTCCTTGAAGTATGGTCACCTCATGAAGCTCCGCCTATTATTGACGGGGAATACGGTACTAGGTACTGACAAAAACAAGATGCTGTTCGCCCTCAGCAAACAACAAACTAACAACCCTTGTGAAATTCCATCTAGAACAAAATATCTTAGACAGCAGATAGGTCTTATTATAACAATTCAATTTCAGCTAGAAGTATGAGAAGTCTTCCGTCGTAGGCTTTCGACTGACATTGCGTAACTCGGGACTATTCTTGCTTACATAACCATTTTCGGGGTCAGGCGTAGAGCGATTCAGCTTCCTCGATCATCTGGCTGCGACAACTACACCATCTCGCCCATCCAGTCTTTCATGCAAGGTATCAAGCGATATTGATTCTAGTACTGAAGAATCAAACTGTGCCAGGTATATCCTCGACTGTCATCGGATCTCTACCGTCTACGAGCTCCTGTTGCTTCCATTCCTACTCTCCGCGTTCTTCTCCCCGCAGCATGGCCGACGAACACTCCCACTCAAGGGTCGAGCTCTACGACTCGGGTCTAACAGTTCCCTCGGACTCGGAAATCTACTCTCCCAATCATGAAGTTTCATCTCCTCCCTCGACATCTAGCTCGCCCTTGATTCTGTACAAGCCTCCATCGATCTGGGGCATCTTGCGGGGAGCGGCGATCAATTTGATCCTCCCTTTTGTCAACGGGTTGATGCTGGGATTTGGGGAATTGTTTGCACACGAGGCTGCTTTTCGGCTTGGCTGGTCTAACACAAAGGTACGTTCCACGAAGTCGCTTTGAGGGGTACAGTAATGGTCTCCCTGCGATTTATCCGCCAATGCACATTGACTCATTCTCCAACAAACTGGGCTGATCATTGTCTCGTCTAGATCTTCCCTACTTATCGACGGTCAAGACCCATGGGACCAGGCATGGAGATTCGCGAGATCCCATCGCGGCGCCAGCCAAGAGCCGGAAGTCTGCAAGATACTACATCATTGGAGTGATTACGCGCCTTCAGGCACCAAGTATAGATTTTCTCAGAGCAGATTCTTGATATCCATGTTCGTGATCCATTTGTCATTTGTTCATCTTTGTGTCTTCAGCATGGGTTGCGCATATGTGTACATAGATTTCAAAAGGCACCAGCAGTAGGTCTGATTGGGCGGCGTCGGGCGAGGCACTTCGACTTTTGCACATTGAAGACACGGTCCATCTTTTGCTGTGCATTACGAGTATGGAAATATTCGTCAAATCAAATGATATTCTACCCGGACGATAATCCTCTTTCTCTCTTGTGCCTATGTAGTATCTTGATATCAGGGACAAACTCCGGCCGCCCGGCAGAAAGCAAGTCTTGGCGCGAAAAAGTCCAATCTCCCCGAGTCGGCGGCGGATATAGCCGTTGTTTTTTCCCTCTAGAAACCGCCGTCGCTCGTGAATCCCCAGAATATCTCCTGCGGCCAAATATCACAATGCTGGCAGGGGCTGGCTTGAAGGGGCGTGGTGGGATTCCCACCATTGCTCGACGACATTTGACTGCTTTCCCTCGCTCCAGCCGATCGGTTTGTCCCCCGATATCCTCTTCTCCGCCGGCGAGCGAGTAGACTCCCTGGCTGACTTGACTCGGTATACTGTAGATCTCTTCGTTCAGACCTCAGAGCTCGAGATTCTCTGTGCACTATGGAGGGTCTACCCAGACACTTTCTGGAAAAATATCATGGAAGCCCGTCGCCTCCATACCCGGAGTCATATCCGCAAGGTTCAACTCGACATCTTCCGCAACCGATGCCACTGCGAGTGAGCATTTGTCGAATCCTCCTATCGATGCGGGTGTACCTGACCTTTCTGATCTGTCTGCCGCTGATCTCAGCTCAATCCCCGAGCACATCGGATACCTCAAAGACCTAGGGCTCGACTACGGCTGGGGCCCGTCGTCAATCATCCAGTTTGTCATTGAACATATCCACATATGGGGAGGCTTGCCCTGGTGGGCAAGTATCGTGGGAACCGGACTTCTCCTCCGTTTAGCACTTCTGTATCCTACGCTGGGCGCTGTGGACACCTCGACCAAAATGCTCAATATCAAGCACATCACGGAACCTATGCGTCAGCAGATGATGATGCGCGGAAGGGATGGCAACCAAATAGAAATGTTGAAACTCCGAGCCGAAATCCAGAAGATTCACCACGAGCACGGTATCAAGTCATGGAAGTCCTTCATTCCCATGCTTCAGATCCCCTTTGGTTTCGGTTGCTACAGAGTGGTCAAGGGTATGGCAGCCTTGCCAGTGCCAGGGCTGGCCATGGAATCAGTTGCTTGGCTGAAGGATCTTACCGTTCCCGACCCGTTCTTCATACTCCCCGTTGCGTCGTCTTTGTTCATGTACCTGAGCATCCGGGTAAGTCGTCGTTCATCCCTCGGGGTACTGGCTTGATCACTAACTCAGAATGCCATCGTCCTGTGTAGAAAGGAGGCGAAAATGGCGTGAACCAGCTCAAGGGCACAACGTTAGGCAGTCTCGTCATGTTTGGGTTGCCTGCCATCTCCTTTTTCTTTATGGTCTTCTTCCCCGGTGCCCTCCAGCTCTATTTCGTGACGACTGGTCTATTCGGTCTGGGACAAGCCTACCTTCTCAGCTCTGACAACTTCAGAAAAACGATGAATGTCGCCCTCCCTCAAAGACAACCTCAGATTGGGCAATCCCCCGGTCATGGTGATTCGCAGCAGAGCAAGGCGATCCGCATGCTTCGTGAGCATCTGGAGGCCGAAAGAGCCAAGATGATTCAGGAAGAGCACAAGTCGCCTAAGAGTGTGGAGATTAGCTTTATTGATCGCGCCTTGAACAACCTGAAGGAGGCTAAGGAGAACATCAAGCGTGAAACAACGGAGAAATTGGGTCAGGGCCCCTTGAAGAACGCGGATGGGACTCCCGCCGAGCCTCCCCGGCTAAGCGAGAAGGATCTCAAGTTGGCAGCCGACTACGAGAGGAGAAGGAAGGAGGAAGAGGAATGGAAGCGGGAGGAGAGGAATCATGCTCGCCGCGAGGCTCACCTGAAGGCCTTGGAGCTCGAAAGAGAAAAAGCTCGCTCAGCGTTCAAAGTCAAGCAAAGGTGAGCATCAGGGTAATTCTTCTTTCTTGGTTTACTGTATCAGGTGTGACGGTCTATTTGCAACTGTACAATATGAGGGCGCTGTACCATTCATCTTCATGTTCTATACGGTGTATTTTCTCCTACGGTAAATGATTTTGGGTTGGAATACAGTATCTCTCCATTCGTTATCACGAAGACTACTTAATAAAAGGTGCTGCTTTGTCAGCAGGTCTGCCAGGTTGCAGTCAACAACAGTCACCGAGACCTTCGGATCCAACCTCCAGCAACAAGCAGCCATCATTCATTCTGAAATCACACGAGATACCACGAAGGCAAAATGCCAATCCGTTCACCTGACAGCGGCAGAAAAAAGCTTGTCAAAATGTGCAAGAGCAGGATGACACAACCAAGAAACACCAGCTAGTCCTGATACGTGCCTGATAAGGATCGTCACCCAAGAAGACAAGAACCAACGACCACGCCACTTCAAGGTTCTCATCTCAAACATGCTCACGCTCATCGGACGAGGTCTCAGCCTGTGCGAGTGCCGAAGCGTCCTCAGCCTCAGCAAGTCTCTTCTAGGTACTGTCAACGCCTTGTTTGCAAAGCTGGGGTTTCAGATCCCTACCTCGATGATCCTTTTGATTTCCGGGAAGAAGAGATGGTAATCCGGTTCGGCACACATCTGATATGGAGTTAACCCTTGAATCCTGTCAAATTCTCGAAAATTGTGGCTGTATACGTACCAGGACCAAGGAGTTTCTGAAACCGTCATGCTCGAGCAAATCTGCCAGCTCTTCATAATACCTCACAAATCCGTTTCGGAAGTACTTGAGGCGCCTAGTACCTTCATCAAAGGTCATAGGGTCCCGCATTGCACGCTTCTCAAGAGTGTCTTGAGTTGCGTACAGATGAAAAGCTGACACCACAGTGAAGGTCTAAACAATCGCGAGTCAACATCCGGTGAAGTGAAAGCAAGGCGAGTGGAATGTTACAGAGCCAAGGGTCGCTCACCTCGTACAGCAGATTGAAGTCCTCAGAGGTGTGTGGCCATCCGTCAATGATGAAGGTAGTTGCTCCAAACTCCATGTGCCTCTGGATTTCCATTTTCACGAGCTGAAACAGTAATCCGCTCGGCACAGTTCCGTGGTACTCAATGGCCTGGACAACCGCTAGCCAAGCGAGGTATGGGCCATGTTTCCCCAGATGCGGGATCATCTGATCGGGACAAAGGTGGATGCATCCAAGCTCTGCGGCCACGTTTGCTGCGACAGTGCTCTTTCCCAAAGCTGGGGCGCCTACGGAGATACAGATCTCATTAGTTGGTCACCCAGACTGAGAAGGCTTCTCTCTTGAGCTTGCGCTTTGGAATGAAAACTGGCTTACCGAAGAGAAAAATGAGCTTCGCACTCTTGACGTCTACGTCCTCACTGGGAGCCTCGTCATTAGGGATCTCAACAGGGATGAGAATGCCTCCTCGGAGATAGGCTTCCTCATCGTACGTCCAAGTGTCTCCATTCTGCGAGGCGAGCTCGGGCATAGGACGTTCCACACGCTGGACGCGGGTCCTTATGGCCAGGGCAGTGTCAGTCTTCTGATTCTGGCTCTGCGCAGGCTCCTCTATGTCGTGAATTTCTTCTATCTTATCAGACATTTTGGATAGAGGGCAACAAGGAAATACAGTACGACGAAAAAGAAGACAAAGAAAAAGGCGACTCCAAGTTAAAAGACCTGTTTGTATGTGTTCAGCGTGCAAGAATTGAAAGAAACAAGTACGACTTCCAGGAGGAAGAGAAGAAGAGGAATGAGCAGTACAGGCTAGGAGGTCTAATTCTCTCATCTTCACCATGAAAGAAAAATCTTCACTGCCATGCAGAATCGTCAAATCAGGCGAGACGATTTCGCTGAGTCGTTATACGCTCATATCGCATCGTCAGGCAACGAGCGTAACCGTTACGCCGAGACCAAAAGCCCACCTCCCACCATAAACGATGTGTTCTGACAGAATGAGAAAGAGAAAGACTTCTTCCCTTCTCCCTGAGCAGTGATCACTACAGCATAGCGGCGTGCAGATCCTTTATTCTGAAGCATTCAGTCCTGTGCGCATCAGAACAACATACCAAACCCAAAGCCATCACCCACTATTTCCTCACCCTCATCTTCTAATCCAAAGGTAAGTGAACAAGGCACTGTCAAACCATCCCTCGGCCCTTCAAGAGACACTGACCGAACAAGCACCAGACGCAATGAGCAACAACACTACCACCGAGCTAATCGCTCTGAACTCCCCGATTACGAAGACCGCCAGCCTGATCGTCTTCCTTCACACAGCCGCCAAGATACTCATCCTCTTGGCCGTCGTCGATGTCCTGAGGGTGCTTCTGCGCCACGTCCAGGTGTACCTCGATCAGCATGGGCGCGAGCACAACCAAATCCACGGCCTGCAGAGAGTGCGTGTCGTCCGCCGCCGCCGCCGCTTCGACGACGATATTCTCGGAATGCCTTTCTAGGGGCTGGTCAATTCTCCTCACCACATCCGGCTAGGTAAGTTGAGTGCTACGTCTTGGATAGAAGGGGTCTCTAGCTGACTGTCTTGAGGATAGTTCGATTGACACTAATGGATTGTGGTCATTCGAAGAAGAGGGTTCCTGATGTAATAATCGTAAGGAGTTGTTGCAGTTGCAGATGGGTATCAACCGTTCAGGGAGTTTGGAGAACAATGTATCCCGCTGGTCTCTCAGTCTAGAGATAAATGCAAGCATACGCACGGTCAAGTAAGAATAATTGCCTGTAATGTGCCTATTTTAGGGGAGGAGCCAGTCCCATTTGACAGTGGAGACAGCAGCCCTAAGTACGCCTACATGGTTAATGATGAACAACCATGCCGTCCGAGCCATCATTACAATATATTAGATTATGTGTATGTACAATCCGAAGTGCTTTTGATCATGTCATCATGCCAGAAAGTAAGAGAAACCGAGAGGGGAGATACTATCGGAAGATTCGTCTTCCTCCAACACTTCCCGCACTCCAGGTGACTGATCCCCTCACTCCCAAGTTTCCCATACTCAACCCCGAGAAACCGACACCACCGCCCTCGCTGTCGCGCTTGTACCGTCGCAATGCCTCGCGAAGATGAGAAGGTAGGAGTTGGCCCCGGTGAGGGTTAGGCGGCGGTTTGAATTCCCTTTTCGGTCGTGCTAGAGGGGGTTGCTGCAGCTGCTGCGGAAGGCCAGATATAGAAGGTGTGGACGGTTGCGAGATCTGCTGTTGCGGCATGGGAGAGGACGATGAAGGAGGGATTGGAGTGGAGCGATTGCTGTCCGAGTGCTCCTGCTTGACCGGCGGCTGGGGCTGGCTCTGTCCCTGAACCCCCGTCGCCGGCGTAGCGGAGGCGGCTGCGGCTGCGGCTGCCCTCGCCGCTGCTTCGGCTGCCCTGGCGTCGGCCTCGGCCTCTTCGGCGTCAAAGGCAGCGCGCGCGGCCTGATCATGCGCGATAGCCCACTCGGCCTGAACGGTCCTCGCCTTCTCGATGATCTCGCCCGCAAAGACCTTGGTGAAACCGTTGATGGTCGTCACGACACTGGCGGGAACAGACTGGGACAGCGCGTGGTTGACAATCCGCCGCAGCGTCTCCTTGCGCAGCTTGGCCCGTTTGAATAGATCGTATCGCTCCGACTGAATAGGATTGAACGCATCCACCAGTAAACTTTGTTCCAAGAATCCAACGTCAGCCTCAAGCACACAGTGTCACGTAACAGGGAGAGAAACATACGCCAGATTCTTCTTCTCGGCCTCCGTATCCGTCACCCCTTCCTCACCCCTCAGCAGCTCCCCCTCATCGTCAAAATCCTCATCCTCGTCGCCATCCTCCCCGCCCGCATCCCCCCTCGCCGTCCCACCAGCCCGGCTCGACATCCCATCCGCATCCACAGACCCCAGTCGCGTCCCCGCCCCGCCCCGACT